TTTTTTTCCGCTGATAATATGCACGGGCACTGATTCGGTTTTTCTTTTGTGCATTGCGACGTGCATGTGCAGTCATTTGGCTTCGGGTTAGGATAAGTCCAGCTGCCTTTCTTTTAGCTAAGCGTTCTCTGTCTTTTCTTAAATGCTGCTCTCTTAACACAGGATCACTTTTGATTTTAGCTTTTCTTATTCTTTCCATCAACCTCTTTCTCTCTTTTTTCTCCTCCTCGTTTAGTTTTGATTTCAGCATTCTTAAACAAAATTAATCTTAAACAAAATTACTCGAACGAATTGTGTGCGGCACGAGCTGCACACAAGTTAATATTTATGAAAGTTAAAAAATATAATATGTGTATATGTATGTATAATGTATGGTTGTAGGTATGCTCCATTGTTTTTTTGTTTACTTTAATGAAATGACACTATGTCTACCAATATGATAAAATTACACCGAGGTGATAATATGATCTACCGATGTGATAAAACAATCCACCGATGTGACAAAACTATGCGTCGATCATGAATCAAAACACCGATATGATATTTAAGACACCGATTGATTTTTCTTATCACATCGGTGTAAATTATCACATCGGTGGTAAAAAAGACCACCGATTACAGCGATATGAGAACAGCGACGTGAGAAATTATCGACTTTTTTGAAAATTATGAAAAATGTATAATATTTAGGCTAAATTCAAGTACCTATAATGATGCTAATTTACTTACTATGTCTGTTAGAACCAAACAATCGTAATAAAACTTCACATTACACTAGAAAAATGCAACCACCGATAATATAAAATAATTGCTTGGAAGTAACTGAAATGTCGTACTTACGTAATTGGCGGGAATATGCAGCGATTTGACACACGTCCGTCCTGACTGCGCACTAGCACACACTAACGAGGGAAATAAAATTGGGGTGGGGACACTGTCGGACTCATCGATGCAAAGTTAGGTTTAAATTACTTTTGTGCAGCGATATGACAAAATTTTGCGAGACAAGTACATTTATGCCTCTCAGTAATAAATATTATGAATTACGTAATAAAATATGCTACATATTAATAATAAAACTAATATTCTATGAAATAGAATAAGTTATATTCTTAAGTTACTTATTTTTATAACGATATAAGCGTTTTTGCTTGTAAAAAAAGTAGAGGGACAGCACCGATGTGACAAAAATAGAGGTTTATGTATTTATTTCTACCTTTGTAAATAGACTTAGACAAATAATATTTTATGCCACAACCCAATAAATACCTAATGAATACAAAAAAAAATAGTACAGAACAATATTCCTTTTTTCAAATACTAATTTCAATGAAGACAAAAAAAAAAGTCGTTTGGGAAATTCACCCTATACCTACTTATTATATAAAGCGGACGAGTTTGTTTGTTTGTTTGTTTGTTTGAACGCGCTAATCTCCGTAACTACAAGTCTGATTTGAATAATTCTGTGTTGGATAGTGCATTTATCGAGATTGGCTATAGGCTATAAAACATCACGCTACGACTAATAGGAGCTGAGCAGAGCGTGTGAAAACGCGCGAAAGTAGCTAGTAATTCTATAACTTGCAAATACCGACCCTACAAATATACAAATAGAGAATAAAAACATAATAACAATATTATTGATGCCCTAAATTCCTTACAAAAACAAGGTAATCTTTTACTTGGACATAGTCGGGACACTTTATGCCTTTACGAGGTCTTAAATTGTGTTCCCATACATTGACCTCATGGATCTTTATATCATCGTAAATAACAGGGTTTAAGACTTGTTTGGACACCCTCAATGTTTTATTAGAAGGTTCACCGGCTTCATTCGGTCTCATCATCTTTAACAGACGGAAGACTCAGCCTCTGTTAAAAAACTTCCATCTTATTCTTAAGCATCTGCTTTCCCCATGCTCTACATATTTGACAGGCCATTTGAGACTCCCAATTCCACAGTTGTGTATAGTCACAGAAAGTATCTATAGAGGCTAACGCCGCTTATTCACCAGGTAGTTGTGGATGAGCCATTCTTCAGCACGAATGGGACGGTTCGAATCCTCAAATTTCCTAATCTCCAAAAGGCTGGTAACGCACATTGTAATACCGCTGGTGTTCCGTGTGTCTATGGGCGACGCCGAATGCTTACCACTAGGTGATCCGTCTGCTCGTTTACCGGGCTATTCCATAAAAAGGGTCCATTCCATGCAGTCTTCTATATCTATAGAATTTAGTTTGAATTATCAGTAACCACGTTTTTGGCATTTGGTCGTGGTCGTGATCATCAGTTTTGATTTGAGCGGTAATATAAGTACTTTATGGCAACCTGAAGCGCGCTCTTATTAATATATCATCGCTTTTTTATTTATCGTTGTGACAGATGCTTGGAAACATGTATTTCTTTATTAAAGAAAAATGTACATATATGTATATAGATTTTAGGTGGGTATATCTCTGGTTTCTGCACAGTAGAACAAGGAACAAGACCTCAAACATAAAATCGTCCCAAAACTAAATAACAAGACTTTGACAGTACTTTAAAATGTATATAATGGTCCTTCTGTCCCTTGTTCTACCTAATACTAAGGTCTCGTCATACAAATAAGTTCTTAAACATATTTACGAAGATTCCACCCTGTTATGGTACTAATAAAGTCGTTTATACGTTGAATATTATTCTGAAATATGTATCATTTTATGTCGATTTTATAGCGTAATCTCTACCCTTGTTCAGACTAGTTATTCAATGTTATTTAGCCGAAGAGAGGCATACATTTTGAATCGTATGGCGAATAAAATATTATTTTGTAACAATGTAGGTACCTCAGTAAGTAACTAAGGATCATTAAAAATGCCTTAAGTAAATTTATTAATGTAAGATTTCTGCAGAAAGTCGACAATGTTACGTCATTTATATCACATCACTAATTTATTCCGCGACAGACCTCTGCAACTGCTGGACTATATGAGCTTCCCCTACCCTCTTATGTTCATAGGTTTGCCACAATCTCTACACACAGTGAACAGGTTACACTTACATTTACATAACATAACATCACGCCTTTTATCTCCGAAGGGCCCAGGCACATTACGGCACTTAATGTCTCTGTACAATTTAACCCACTTTTCACTATTTATGTTATGAGTCCCATGTCATAGGGGGTGAACCTATTGCCATATACCAAGCACATTTAAAGACTCCGTGCTACTACTGAGATTTAAAAAAAAATCAGTATTACTTTGCCCGACCCGGGAATCGAACCCTTTGCCCAGTCGCTCTTGCGACCACTTTGCCGATGAGGTAGTCAGGTTACAGTTAGTAGGGTAGTATCGCATTAAAACTTTTAGGTTTTTATAAGAGAATACTGCTGCTTAATCTCTATCAAATGTGTGATTCCTTAGACATACTATTGGTATCATATGACTGTAACAATTTCAACATACAATCACTTTCTCTTCCTCTTTAATTAAATCCTGCTAGTCTATTATTAAGTCTATTTTGTTAAAAAAGACGATAATGTATTTTATCAACTCCTTTTTCTATTAATTTTCATTCTCCTTTCCAGGGTTTCTCTCCAGACGTCATGAAGGCTCTAGTGGCGTCATCTAGCGGCGGTGTACGAGAACAGCTCAAGATGGCGCTGGCCAAGATGGTGGAACGACATGACTGTGGACATGAGTACGCCAACAACAGGGCCAGGGAGATGGTAGAGGAACTGGGCAAGGACGAGTCTGGAATATCCACTGATCTTCGGTATCTGCAACCTTTAATTTATAGCTATTAAGGTTTGAAATGGAATGGAGTTGTCTGTCTTTGTTGAATTTGAAAATATAGATATCACATGGTTTTTATGGAAAGCAAGAAAATATTGTAAAAAACATTACCCTCCTTCTTTGGCAGTCGGGTAAAAATTCGCAACATCCTACTTTGGTTGCTATTTTTCAAAATAGATTACTAAAATTAAGCATAGTAGGTATCTCCTCTTTATTTCGGACAAAAATAAGACATCTTTTTCTTTTAACTTCAAAGAAAATTGGACCGAGTTATTGAGTATTTAATATTTTTATAATGACTATCTTCAGACATACTAAATTAACTAAATATCGCGGGTTACTTACGTGAATATACTGAGAAAAGCTCTGCTAGTTTCTAATCTACTAGTTCAGTAGGCTGCACGACTTCGCGGCGACCGCGCTCGCTGCTCATGAGGAAGAATCCTCCTCCTGTGCATGTGGTTCGAAACTAGTAGAGCTATTATTAGTATTCACGTGAGCGACCCGCGATTCTTAGTTAACTCGTCGAGTACCGTCATTATAGACACAATTATAGAACAATAGGTTGCGGTCACCGGTGACCGCTTGGTGTTTGACAGTTTAATTGACTGTATAATGTTCGATTAACACACAATTTTTAAACAATCCTTACTTCAAAAGCTAATATAATTAAATCGATATCATTTCAATAACTCTAGTTACTTATTAACTTATTTCTATGCTAGACTAATTGTCCCACTAATTAAACAAGGGCAGACAGTCCCATGACAGAAATATGACATCACTAAGTTTGGACATTTTTGTAAATGAAACGAAGTCATATATGAGTTGAATGGAAAATAACCTCAGAACAGAATGATGCATTTATATGTATAAAAAAGTATTTATCATAGATATAGGTAACTATTTTATATTGTAACCGTACTATTCATAACACATTTGTTTTAAATACGAAACGAAAAAAATTTTTTCATTCGCGTCGCTCCTTATTTCATAGTAGATACTATAAAACTAAATTATTATGTTTTCGGCTTATTCACGTAGTAATTTGACGAGGAACTCGACTAGTTTCAAGCTATGCTAGAGGCTCATATTCATGAGCAGCATTTCGCGTGCTTTGCCGTGATTCACGCGTACTTTCCTCTATTCGTGGTATTATAGGCGACACGGCGGCGCGCGTGACATTGTTGACACGCTAGACTCGCCCGCCGGCAGCGCGTTGGGGTTGGGTTCGAATCCCGGGTCGACGCTAAAACAGTGTTACATAAAACTGAATGACAGGACTATAAAACTGTTGAAATATGCTTGCTTGAAAACTCTTTGGCATTGTTTTGTTTCTCCATAAAAATAACATTTTCTTAACGGTTTAATGGCACTTAAATATAAGTCCCATTGATCAGCGAGTAAGCTTATTGCTATACCCAAGGCATTGTCTCTAAGCCCCGTGGTAATTACTAAAAAATGTTTGGGAAAATA